GCCTAGATTAAATATTCAAAACAATAAATGTAACATAAAAAGTTAATATATTTTGAGTTGTTGTTAAACTAAGGTATAATATTTTGACAAGAAGGAAATGAATGTTTTAGAAGAAGTAGCAAGAGAGAAACCTTTTCCGAAATGAGTTTAAAATATATGAATTTTAATTCCAATTTTATTTAAAAAAAAAAAGAAAGAAAAAAAAGGGTAACAATTATGGTAAATATATTTAGTCCTATAACTTAGATATTGCTCCCAAGAAAAATCCAGGATCCAAATTCTTTTTGAAAAAAGTCCGACCGGCTGGCTTTTATAAAAACAACAAAAACAGACTTTCTTATTAAAGTTTTTATGAAATTGAATTGTTTTCTTTAATAATTTGTATACATTAAGCATTAAAATTTAAGTTTATCACTTATATTTTATGATCATTTACTATAATTCAGAATTAAAATCTTAGAAGAGTTATTTAAAGTTTTATGCGTTTATTATTTTCACAATTTACAAAAACTAAATTAATTAACAAAACTAGTTAACCAAAAACTAGTTAAAATGCTAATTTAATATACATATATATCAACGTCTAAACTTTGCAGATATATATATACAGGGTGTCTGAGTTAAACGTTTAAGTAGGGTAGGGTGCATCCTGACGACTCGAAATCATATAGCAATACGGGGTCGGAAATGCTTTCCAAAAGCGGTAGATGGCGTTGTACGAAAGTTCTGAGCTTTCGTGCAAGGAATCGTTATTTAGCACAAGGACGCGAAGTTAGTAGGATGACTGATTATACGAACGCAGAGTTAGCCGATATGCATTAGGCGTACGGGGCTGCAGATTCTAGTGGGCCAACAGCACAGCGTTTCTATGCGGAACGATTTCCGACGAGGAGTATTCCCAGTCATAATTTCTTTGCACGCCTGCACCAGAGGTTAGTTGAGACTGGTTCATTTGAACGAGCTGGCAGGGACCGGATAAGAGCCGCACGAACTCAGGGTTTCCCGTTCAAGCGTCTGGAGGATTGTCCGAGAACACAACATGCATCCGTTTCACATGCAGCGTGTCCGGGCACTACAACCGGATGATTATGCACCTCGTATTGCTTACGCACAGTGGTACCTTGGAAAGTGTGCTACATATCCCCTTTTCCCTGGTAAAGTTTTGTTTTCCGATGAGGCATCCTTCACATGGGAAGGAATTTTCAACACGAAAACGCCCATATCTTGGCGGAGGAGAACCCGCATGCAATACGACGTCGTGCAGCACAGACTCGATTTTTGGTCAATGTTTGGGCCGGTATTATGGATCACCTAATCGGACCTTACCTGTTACCGTTTCGTCTAACCGGACGTAATTACTTGATCTTTCTGCTGCTAGTATTGCCACAACTTTTGGGAGACGAACAGATTTCTGCATCGACGCAACAGACAATGTGGTTCCAACACGATGGAGCCCCTGCCCATTTCAGCCGAAATGTTCGTAACCTCCTAGATGTGACATTTAGTCAACAGTGGATCGGGCATGGTGGTCCAGTGCGTTGGCCTCCTCGGTCACCCGACCTATCATGTCCTGATTTTTATTTCTGGGGCCATATGAAAACACTGGTTTATGACACCCCTGTTGACAATGCTGAGGAGCTGGTAGCAAGAATCGCAGTAGCTGCCGGAGAAATTCGAGATATGCCTGGAGTACAGCAGAATGTTCGGATGTCCATGCGCCAGAGAAGTGAGGTGCGCATTGTAGCCGGTGGCAGAAGCTTCGAACTCTTACTTTGACCCATGTATCTTATGCATTTTTCAATGTATTATTAAAACGATTTTTCACTTACGGTCTCTTTTCTTAATGGTGCTTCTGTGGACATCACCGCTGCAGGAAAGCATTTCCGACCTCCGACCCCGCATTGCTATATGATACGTTTAACTGAGACACCATATATATATATAGAACATATGAGAAAATAATACGTATGCAGAGCTGCCAATTTTCAACGCTTTTTGTAAAAATTTATTCTAGTGGTGGTTAAGTTTATATTTAAATGTATTATTTTTTGCTCATTTAAACTTATTTTAAGGTTAGGCGTAGTTAGTTTCATTTTACACGCTATCTGGACTTTCAATTTATTACATCACAAACAGAATGGTCAAACATGATATTTATTAGAATTAAATCTATTTAACAAAAATTCCTCATTATTTATATAGAGTTAACATAGAAGTAATTCAGTATTTTTGTCCAATTCCTGTTAAAATTTATATTATTAATCTATAATGATAAATAGAACTACGTTTCTACAAAATGAAAGAAACTTTTTCTCTTTAAAGAAATAAAAATAAACCATCTTTTTAAAAGGCACAAATGGGTAAAAACGGGAGAAGTTGATATTTATATATTGTTTTCTTACTGTGTAGGGGGTGAGGACTTCATCCGTGGAACGAATTTCAATAAGATTTGGGCATTCTGAAACTTCACTGATGGAGCTATTTAAAGGACTCATGACCGTATGGTTCGTCATGGCCACTATTGCTACGCTAAGGTTGATTCTCATGGTGTAGACTGTCAGCATGCCAAAACATCCAAGAAGAATAATCACATGTCTCCTGGGGATGTAAAGGTTCTTCAAATCTAGAAATTTATTATTTATATTATTAGCACATTTACTAGAGAATTTTTAAAATTTAATCATTCAAGTATTACATTATAGAGTAAGGCTGTCGAATTTATCAATGCTTAATGAAAATCTTTAACCATGGAATATTGTGTCGTGAATTTCGTGATGTTCACTAAAATTTCCCAACAGCTAACAAATATATTACTTTTTAAAAAAATTCATCAAGTAACAGCTTCATACTAAATTAATAATCCATATGAGATATCACTGTGATAATACATCACCTCATACATCACAAAACCTCCACAAGCTTTTTTACAGGTAGTTTGCGCACTCTATTTAAAAAGTGAACCAGTTGAACCATGACCCAAAATTCTAATTTAAAAGTACCCGAGAGAAATGTATCATATATATTTGAGAATTGAATCTGTAGTGGTAGACAAGTAAATATGACAAACCAATTATATTCAATAATTAAAAAAAATTTTGAGACATATATTTGCTACCACTTTCTTATTTTTAATAGATTTTCCACTAAATGACTCTACCGTATACTTGTTAAGAGATGCCAACTGCTCCAGACACACCATAATAATTAAAAAAATATATATATATATTTGACTTTATTTGACTATATTTGCTTGCTTTTTAAAAGGTATAGCATAACATAAGTACTATAAAGTGGTGAATTATGTAAGCCTACGAATTATTTAGAAATAGTGGTGGATAAAAATGTTCTAAATTGAATTTATTAAACCAAGAATCACATTTGATAAACTACCACTTTAAAATTTATATTTGCTGTCCGGAGCAAGTTGGCATCTCTGCTTGTTTACCTTCATAATGGTCTCATCGGACTACCTAAGAGAAAACGTCTGGGAACTTTCAGTTATAGGAAACGTTGGGTAANGAAAACCCCTTTCAGATTTCTGTTCAGAAACCTCTGTAAATCATTGGCTTGATTGTGGAACTGGCAAACGTCATATTTGATTCATTTAAAAAACGCAGTACCCTCGGATAACTTGACATTCCAGATAACTTGACCCTTGTCATTTAAATTATTTCATAAAAGAAATACTAGGTTACTATTAGTAACCTAGTATTTCTTTTATTACTGTATAATGTAATCCTAGTAACGACTAATTCATTGTGCAATTTATATAAATGTTTGTAATAAATAGGAGAAAATTATATTTTTATTTATTTAAAAGCGACGGGTTAGTTTCAACGGAGGACGGTTGCATTGTTGGACAAGCCGTCCGCGGGGATGGGTAAAATTTCTGAGTTTTTTCGAGCCCTGGTTTATATAAATAAAATTTTATATAAATTTTAACATTTTATATAAATAATTTGGTAATTAATTTCAAATTGCTCCAAAAATATTGTTTAATTCGACTGAATATTTATAAAGTTACAGCAAAAAAATCTTAAGGCAAAAATTAGTCTTTTATAAAAATGTCCTAAAAATTATCTTTTATAAAAATGCCCCCATAAATATTTACTCTAGATTTACGAAATTTTATGCAGTTATTTCAATTAACAACTCAAGTAATCGATACAACTTACAAGTTTATTGCTTGATTTTCAGGCATTGGGGTGTCCAAAAATATTTCTTTTCTTTTGTAATTTATCGTCGGTTTCCCAAACCTCTGAAAGCTTTAAGTCCTATTGCTAAATATGAATTAAGCATCTTTAAAGTTATTAAATAATCCTTTAAGTATTTCTTGAGAAATATGTCTCTTCCATTATTGTAGGGTTAGACGCCTTATAAGCTTCTATGAAACATCTTAATTATCAGGTGATTGACTATACAGCTTTATTGTTTTTATGAGACCGGTTTGCACTTGTTTGTGTATCAATTGGTTAAATTAGACGATAGGATAAATTAGAAGATATATTATATAAGTATAGAATATTTATTATACCAAGCATTATATTAGTATATTATAATAATTAGATCAAATTATTAGACGCACTGTAGCTTTTTAATAATTACATGATTTGCACGAGTTTATACGCGATAGTAGTAAGCAGAGGTTTTGGTGCGGCGGAACTTATTTCTGCCCGCCTGGAAGTGACGTCATCATGGAAAGTCAATGGATGCTTATTTCTGCCCAACCGGAAGTTGCNGAGTTTATACGCGATACTTTTATATTTAAACATGTATGCAATGGGTTTTCATTCGGGAGATTTTTTATATGCTTGTATACTTTCTATTTCTATTTATTTTTAATGCTTTACAATATTAACCAATTGATACAGCAGCGTAGAAAAATACAAACCGGTTTTATCCGAGTAAAAACAATATAGTTTCATAGTATCACCTGATAAGTATAATTTTACCTAGAATGTTATAGTGTCCAGGGATCAATAGGTAAACAAAAATATTACCAATCCTAATTCTTCCTCCATTGGAGTATCTACACCATATTTTGGTAATATACTAAAACTATTGCTATGGCAAACAGTTTTCTTAATTCCTGAAATTCTAGACATCGCTTGACCAGCTCGACCTTTTGATTTTGGTAATGGTGCAAAGGTTATTTCTTCTGTTCCTTCTTCATCTTCTTCTTTAAGAGTATCAAGATCAAATTCTTGTTTTTTATCTATTCAAAATAATCATTCCTTTAGTGTCACTAAAGAGATATATTTTTAAATAGAAGGATAAAAACGATATTTACCATTGATTTCTTTACCTAAAAACGTACTACAAATATAATCTGATATTTGGCTTCCAGATTTGGATTCGGAAGAAAAGTGACTTAGTTCTTTATTCAGCATTTTCTTAAACTGAAAACAGAAATCATTTGGTTTTTAATACATTAGGGTTATAGAACAAATTTATGTTGCACAGTAGGAATGCCTATCTTCATTCATTGGGATTTGTCAGATTTCAATGGCATTTTTTCAATCATTTATCTCAAATAATATCATTTATTAAAATTATTTTTGTGGAAGCACAACTCTTTTATTTTCTTCCACTATGGTAGATAATTTAACCTTCTTCATTAATAGAGATTAAAAAACATTAATCTAAGTTGTAATACCAAGGATTTTTTATTTCAAGCAAAATCTTATCAATCACTTCCCTGATTATCCCGAGTTAACTCGGGTATGTATATATTGCAAATATTTATCATCCCGAGAAAACTCGGTCGTTGCAGAATTTGTCAGTACATTTTGTTTTATCATGTTATTTATCATGTATTTTATCATGTTTTATCATTTTGTTATTTTGTTTTTGTTTCTTGGTCGGAAGCAGAAAACTTTATCTGTTGTGATTGGAAGTTTGCCAAGTTTTATTTGAGAAATTTACTGTGGGACTGCACACGTGGTTCGTGCGATTGTATATAGCAGGGGTGGCCAATCTGTTGCTCGCGAGCCACATGCGGCTCTTTGAAAAATTATTTGTGGCTCTCGATAAATGTACCCGAGTTCCCTTTTCATTTTTGTGCTATTATAATTTAAAAAAATATTATCGTTCCGTATGTGTTTCAAAATATCTTTTAAACTACTGAGAACAAATATGAAAGACTAAGTGCAACGTTGTTCAATTCAAGGTGAGTTTTCCATTTCCAATATAATTATGACCCAAAAAGCATCTAGAGAATTAGAATCAATAGAGATGCAAGAAGGCTGCTTGTCGAATTATTTCAATATTCGGAACAATGTACTTATGCGAATCATTTTAGTTCACTTTAAAATTCGTAAAATCGAAAAAACCGATTAGTATTAACTAACCAGTATCTCAAGGAATTACGGAGAAGTGCTGTCACCAATTATTCTCCAAATTTTGAAGAATTATCAAGAGAAGTAAAATATATGTGTCTAATTTTTAATACTTAAATTCAATTCACATATTTTGTACTTTTACTTATGTGTTTTCAATAAATATAATTTATGTAAAAAAAAATTTTTAATGCCTTTTTTGCATACCTTTTAAATACGTATTTAATTGCGCCTCGCGGAAAATTTCAAATTCTGAAAAATGGCTCGACTATCAAGGAGCTTGGTGGCCACTCCTGGTGCATAGGATGGTTTAGGAGTAAGAAGCAAGAAAAAAAAAATGGCGTATTTCTTCACTGACGTGTGAAAAGTTTCACTTTGTGTCGTTCCTTGTTTTAAGAACTATCATATGAAGACTAATTTTTTTTCATTTGCCCGAGATAATTCGGGATAGTAAACTATTAGCAAATTAATGTTTCTTACACATAAAAAAATTAAATTTCAACTTAAAACTTGTGTATTATGTTTTGCTTCAGTTCCTTGTATTTATTAATAAAATTCAAAAAAAATATGATGATTTTTTGCATTTTTTTTTCTTTAAAATAACTGGTAAGGGAAAGTGGTAAAGAATCTGACATAAATACTATTCGTAACCCTAGCGTGATTTCGTCGACTTTTCGTCCCGCAGTGAACTGATCGTAAAGACAAGGTTTCCAGTAGAACACCGAAGTCAAGCATCACTGGCTGCCGTCAGTTAAGCGGGTGGGTGACCACTTTAATCAACCAACGTAGGGATCGATCCTCGTTAAACTGTTCTACCATAAAGTGCTCAACTTCACCCACAGATCGTCATGCTACCGGAGCCTCTGCAGTGGATCAAAATTGTGATGGACTGTCTTTGGATAATTCTCGGGAATGTTTCCCAGACAATCGCTCATAGCCCATTGTGGAGCTTTAGTGCGACGTAAATAAAATAAAATACGTACCTACCGTCTTTTTTCACGTCATTTTTCTGATATTTTTTGTACAATGTAACTATGTCACGCGAATTTCGAATTAGAGTTATAACTTTTTGGTACTCTCGATTAATGACGATTTAATCTTTTTTTCGGTGAGATAGAATAGATTCCACTAGATTTTTTCTACAACGATATTATTAATACGATGATATTGCAGTATGAAAAGTTGGAATTTGAGTAATCACTTTTTGATGCGCATGATTCGCGCTATTCTAATCATTAATCCACGTCGTTTTTTGGTCATTGTTTTTAGTTATTTTTCGTTTTTATGGCATTTTAATACGGTCATTCAAATTTCGGTATTTTTAATATAATTTCATTTCGTTACCCGAATTTTAAATTTGAGTAATCACTTTTTGACGCGCTTTATTCGCGAGTATTCCATTATTTATCCGCATAATTTTCCGATAACTTTCTAGGCAGTTATTTTTCGTTTTAACGTTTTGCATGGTTCTTCAACTAATGATATTTTTAATATGATTGTTATTACGATACTAAAATTTCAAATTTGACTTATAGCTTTTAGACGCTCTCAATTCGGGACTATGCCGTCTAAATCAATGTAATTCTCAGCAGTTACCTAGTTTCTTTTACTTCCGATCCTGCAATTTCTACATCATTTTTAAAATCCTTTATTTTAAATACGATATTATTAATACCGAAATATTTAGAATAACGCATTTGAGTATTTCAAACTTTCATACGATTATAAATGTTTAATATTTATTATTCAGTGATCGTTATATTATAATAAGTCACACAGCAATGATTATGCTAAATTCTCTGCATCACATTGTATTGTGATATCGTTTTAAATATATCTATGCGAGCCCTGATTTTGCCAGTCGTATTATTAGCAGTAGCAAACCTTAATACAAGTTTTTAAAAATGACATCCTGCTCGGCTTGAAACTTAAATTTAGGTTGTAAACACATCAAAAAAGTTACATCAACAATGATGTATCTTGGTTTGTATCTCAAATGGAACAATTACGAGTTTTAATCTAAATTTTTTTTCATTTAAAATATGAAGTTATCAAATCTTTCAACAAAAAATAAGCATCTTTTAATTACTTTTTATGTACTCAAAAAATATTTTTCAGCACTATATACATTAAGAAACTGCAAAATAATTTTTAAAGACTTCACATGATCATGATAAAATAATTAGTTTTTGACAATAACTCTTTTTTTGATTATACTAGTCATTAAAAAATGATCGAGAGATTTTTCGGTTCGATTTTAGAGGGTGGAAAATGAAGCTTGAAATTGGGAAATCTTGCAAAATACACATGAGAGTGCAATAATATCACCGAGGCCAGCTCGCACATGCAGACCAGCAAGTATTTCATCAAACCTGCAAAATGATTGGCGCTTTCATATGCTATGGACTGACAGCACGCTGAAACAGATCGTGGTTGAATGAATTATGAAAAATTTGAATAGAACAATATGATAAGCACGTTTTTCCATAATACGTGATGAAAATTGTCATGGTAAAGAAAAAAATGTCATTTTTGAAAATCAAGCACTTTTTAAAAACATCCAATGAAAAAAGTACTTTCAAGAGCTTTGAAAAAACGAAAATCGAAAATAAGCACCTTTAAGCACTTTCTAAAAACACCCAATGAAAAAAGCACCTTTAAGAGCTTTTAAAAAACGAAAATCGAAAATAAGCACCTTTGAGCACTTTTTAAAAACGCTACGCACCCTTTCAAATAGGCCTTTATAACTCCCAAATATACTATGGTTTGAAAATAGGAAACAAAAGACTCGATGGATAACAAACAAATGAATTAAAATAAATCGATAGCTAATTGCTATGCAATAAATATTAACCATTTCTTACGTTTTACCATTCTTCCAATTCTCTATAAAATGCCTCTTTTTTTTTAAAAAAAAAAAGAAAGAAAAAGTCAATTTTAGAATTTTATTTTCATCCTTACAAAGTCTTATTTATTTAGATATGAATAAAAATAGTGTAAATCCATGAAGAACTTATCTCATATCCTAATGAAAATATCTTTGATAAATAACAATTAATGCTTTTTGTCTTCTAAATTATTTTATGATTGTTTCAATAGCGCAATCCTAGGTAACCGAAATATTAAGCTTATTTCTTTGTAAAAAATGCGCAGTTTGAAATAATAAAAGCTCAAATAGATGAAAATTTTGTTTATTTAAACAGCATAATGCTGAACTGACTTATTTGTAGCCAAGTTGGAATAAAATAGATATCGGATAATCCTTTTTATTTCGTTAAAATAAGTAGTTCAATGAAATAAATGACTACAAGTGAAAGTTACCCGAATATTTTAATTATTATTACGCTTTTAAACCCTAACGATAATTTGAAAAGTCAATCATTAATATTTTCTTTTTTACTGACCTCATAAATGAAATGAGAGGGAATTTTCTATGATTCAATAAATTGCAATGAGAATTTTGTTTGGATTTAATTAATTCAGAAATGATACCAAGTATTATTTTTTTTTGTCTGTAGTCAATAAAATGCCGCGTTTTCTGCAATTTCTAGAGACATTGTAGAAATGTCAAAATTACGCAACCCGCGTGCATCTTTGTTTTTAATCGGCGTGCGTCTGTTTAATTGTGCAACCCGCTCTTTTCACGTTCATGATTTCATTTCGGCTTTTCTGTGATGTTTAATTGTTCATTAAGAACTGAGTTAACAAATGGCGTTAATTGCGCATATTTCTGCAAAATATACAAGCATGTTTTGTAACATTTTGGACACACTTTTCAAAGTGTGCTGTTTGTAGCCGTAAAAAAAAGTGTAAGACATTTTGAAAAAAAAAAATAATAAAAAATGTGAATTTGGTGCAATGCGAGGTGATACTTTATTTCGAGCATTGTTTCGAAGTTTATCATTTTAAACTTCATATCTAAAAAATGTTCTGTAAGCATTTCGCATATTTTCATTAGTATATACAGTTCACCTTTCATAAAATAAATTATATTTCATAAATTTCATATTCAATAAAATAAATCATAATTTAAACAAGATTAATTTTTTAAACTTCACTTTTCTAGTTTCACTTTTCTAGCAACCTTTTCTGTTATCAAACTCTATATTAAAAAACATATTTTGTAAAGAAATTTTAGTGCATATTCTAACTTTTAAATAGTATAAGTAGATTTGAGATACGCAATAAAAAATACGCAGTTTTTAATAGCTTTTGATAAAAAAAATTATGCAGTGAGAGAGTCAACATACACTATTTACAAATGATACTCATACAAAAATTTATTTCCTAATGCAAATTTTGTTTTCCTCGTCACGCTTTGATTGCATTTTTCCTTAAATTTTAATTGGCCAAATTTTTTACTTCATCTTTGACAAGTAATCTAAAATATTGTCTTTGATCTTTGTCCGAGATACAGCGTATATTCCTGTATGACTTCAAAAAATTATTTAAATCGAGAAATGAAATTTACGTTACTTATTTTTTCTTTTAAATATTGTTGATGACATAATAAATAAAAATCAATTAAAAAATGAATAGTTACTTTACTAAATGCCATATCACCAACAGAGCGATGAGCTTGTATAGTCTCTAGTTGTTCCAAGCACCAATCTAGTTCCTCTAAAGTTTCAGAAGCTAGCCTTTCTTTTTCTTCTTCTATTAAAAATAAAATTCTTTTTATTCAATATATAAGTTGGTATATTTCAACCTAGAGATGTAAAGTAAAAGGAAATGTAATCAGAAAGAACAATTTCAAGTGGTGGGCGAAATAATTTCAGTAAAAGTACTTTTTGATCTATCTATCTATCTATCTATCTATCTATCTATCTATCTATCTATCTATCTATCTNAAATATATATATATATAGATAGATAGATAGATAGATAGAGAATGTCCCGTATATGTTGCAACAAACTCCAAACTTCTAGGGAAAGTTGTGTACATCATAAGAATTACCTAGGAAACCATGGCCGGAAATGTCATCTTACGCTGATAGGGACGATTTCCTATTATGGACATGTTGTTTGCGTGCTTTTGAGCTTTCTAAAACATTTTAATTTCACGTTACTATGATTTTATTTTATAACCATCGTTGAATAGCCGACCCAAATTCAAATTAATGGCTACCAATGTTCAACTCCGTAACCTCGTGTACCCAATCCAGAAGACAAGGGAACACAACCCCCAGAGGTATTGATTTGTTATGGGAACTTGGGGGACTTTATAAACCCGAGGGATTTATTGGAGGCGCCTGAAATATCCGCTATACAATCTAATGTCACATCTAGTGTCCAGTTTTTAAGAAGACACTTTGTAATAAATGTTGAATATTTCTGTATGTCCCGATTTGATAGGATTTTTTGAGGCTTATAAAGCACTATGTGAAATATCTTAATAAACTTCATGCGGAGTAATAAAGCTCGCCTTATTTAGTCTTTTATGCTCACATTTGTCGTCAGGGAAAACTTATTTTCGGAATAAAATTTTTTTTGTGCTTTTTAATTACAATGAAATATCAAACGACAAATGCATCTGAAAAGATATCCTTCAATATATAGGAAATTCATCAGCAACAACAAAAATTTATTTATCTTGAAAAATGTCTCGCAAAACAAAATTTCAAATAATAATTTTAAAAGATAGTTGTGGAATGTCCTATATAAACACAAAATCTATGTCTGGCCAAGTTCATGCAGAAAAACCAGACATAAAGTACTGCAGGTGTTCTTTTTTTATGGTTGGCACTGAACGTTCTTTGTCACTGGCGCATTTAACGTTACTAGGTTTGCACCTGTCAGTCACGAAAGCAAGCGCCACACTGAGACATCCATGCCTGCAACGATAGTCTTCACAGTCCTTGACAGTCAGGCCATCTAGTCTGCTGTTCTTGGCCTACGGAAGTTGTAACACTTTCCAAAACTCTACATGAAGAATCTGGGGTTAGATTTCAGCTTTGGTTGAAATCTTCCTTTTAATTTGGTTTTTGCATTCACTTCATAGCCTGAAATAGCTATGATGACAAAGAATTGTCACAATTTTGGTTGTAGGAGTTACTCTCAAATGCAATACATTTCTTCAGAGTGTTTTTGCTTACATATGAGATTTCTTCGACACAATCCGTGTTCAAAAGTTATACGAACGGCTTTAACTGCACGCATTGGCCAAACACACAATAATAACATACATGCATGGGAAATATATACAGTGTACATATGTACAGTCATGATTGAGATACACATACATTCTACATGTGAGCATGGGACGCATACTTTCATTCTACATGTGCGCATGGGACACATACTTTCATTCTACATGTGCGCATGGGACGCATACTTTCATTCTACATGAATGCATGGGACTTACAAACAATGTACATACAAGCATGCGACATAAATATACTATACATACATGCATGGGAGATATGTATTTTGTAAATTTATGAATGAGACACATATGCATGGTTCATACATACACGGAACATAATGCATTACAATTATTTATAGTTATTATTTGTTTCATTTTATTTTTCTTAACTTTCAACTAAAAATAAATATATGAAGTTAACTTCTTTGCTTATTTCGTATTTAAAAAACAATATTTTCAATCAGCTATGATAAAGGTGTCAATTTACTACTGTGAATTATCATTGCAATGAATATCAGTTTATTATTTTGAAAATGCGTTTTTCAAAATAAAGCATGAAACAACCTGTGCAGCATTTATTTTATAGTGAACGAAGGCAAAAAAATTGTGAACTCAAGGGGCTAAAATATGCTTAACAATTATTATTAATTTAATGAGACGCAAAAACATAAAAAAAAGTTAGTTTAGATGGGAGAAGATTTTGTGTGACAACTCTAATAATAATTATGTGAACTTATAAAACTCTAATGTTAATAAAATTCCTTTACCTTATTTCATTTATAAGAGATTCTAAATAACTATTTATCACTTATAGGAGTTTAATTAAATTATCATTTTTATTTATTTACATATCACAGTGTAATTTGCTTATTTTATTTGATATTGTAATAAATTTACATGGAAATCGTTAGTTATAAAACGATTTATTTTAAAAATGTATTTTTTTGTGTAAAACTAGTATTTTTTAATTTAAACGTCTCTTTAAATGTTATGTCATAGTAAGTGACATTTTTCTGTTTAGTATTATAATGAATTAAATATAAATCTTTGTTCATTAATTGATCACTAATAAATTGCAAATATCACAATTTTTTATTGAATAATAATTTTAATTAACTGAACTTCAAAAAAGCAAAAAGTAAATAAGCAAAAGTATTAACATTAAAGGTCCAACTTTTCCAACACTCTTCTGACCAAATTTTTGGGACCCTTTTTCCCGGATAGCGGCTACCTTTAATATTTTAAAGAATCATAATCCGTCTAAAAAATGGTATGTTTATTCAGAAAAAAGTACGTTTTTGTGTCTGATTTCGTAACTTAAAATATCGTTTGCCTACTTGAAGTCAACCCCTTAAGCCGTTAGGAGCGAGTGCGCGAATATTCGATCAAAAGTTATTCAGGGAGTTTCTTTGAGTACTGTGCAATCGTGTAAAAAGATAAAAACTAGAAAATAAATTAAAAATTTTTTGAAGTGAGTGAAAAAGATATATAAATATTACTGCTCTTAATGTATATTTTTAGAATCCTTGTTAAAAGTGAAATCAAAGTTATATAATAACTTAAGTTCAAAAAAAAAAAAAAAAAAAAAAAAAAAAAAAAAANATCACTATTGAGAAAGACGGGATCGAAAATATCAAAATAAATCTTATTTGACTGATGAAACTTCAAGGTGTTTCCTATAATCTTTTTCCAATTTTCTCCGACTATCAAACAGGTTTTGATGAAATTTAACTCTCCTAACTCAATACTAATACATTAGATTTTAATAGCGTTTCTCTACGCTTAAGTATCAATTCGTATGTACAAAGTAAATAAATAAAAATAAGAAAATTAATATAATTTTTCAACAGTATTTTCTAAATTCGTACTAAAATTATATATACAGCTTATAGGACCATTTCTGTTGAAAACTACTGCATTTCAGAAACGTTCGTTCCATTTCTGTTTAGGCAAGCACTACAATAATGACAAATGAAAGGATTTATTTATTCCCATTTCAGAACAATTATTTTCTTAGCACTCCTTATTTTATTAACAATAAATATTATTCTATTTAGGCAATTTTGGTATTACTGCTTTCATTACTTCTAAAAGCCTTTAAATAGGCTGTTAAATAGGCTCCTGTTGGCAAAAAAACGTTGAAATATTCTGTAGCCTCGAGAATATGAAAATATCACTGTATGTATATAACAAAACATGAAAATACAATGCGTATATAATATTTAATAACTTTGCTCTAAATCAACCTTGCAGAATCGAAAATTCTAACTAAAGTCGGTATGGATTAATTTCAACCTAGAGACTTAAAACTTTACACCTAAGTTAATATGATCAAAAGGAACAGTTTTAAGGGGCGGGTAATAATTTCAGTGAAATTATTTTTCTATAAAAAAAACATCCTAATATCATATATATTACAGCCCCTGGTCAAATTATTAGACGCGCTATAAGATTCTATGTAAAATCTTGACTATCAGGTGATACTATATAGCTTTATTGCTTTCACGAGACTGAAACCGGTTTATTTACGTTCGTGCATTTATACTTGCTTACGTTCGTGTATAAATTGGGGAAATTAGACGATATATAATATAAATTCAACAATTGGATAAATTAGACGATATATAATTTAAATTCAACAATTGGATAAATTAGACGATATATGATATAAATATAGTATATTTATTATATCAGGTATTATATTAGTAACAAAAATTAGACCAAATTATTAGGTACAATGTAGTGTTTCAATAATTGCATGTTTTGCACGAGTTTATATGCAATAGTCTTCTATTTAAACATAAAATGAGTTTTTATAGAGAAGATTTTTTGTTTTCACATTATTCCATTACAATGTTAACCAATTAATACGCTAACATAAACAAGATTAAACCGGTTTCAGCAGCATAAAAACAATAAAGCTGTATAGTATCACCTGATAATTAAAAATTTACGTAGAATCTCACAGTACGTCTAATAATTTGGGCAGGAACTGTATTGATTACAATGTACAATTATGGAAAAGACGCCTTCAATTTCAGAAATTTTTTTAATTTGTCATGAAATTCTAGAGGATTATTTTTTAACTTTAAAAGTGTATGGGACATGCAATGTCTCATACTTATGAATAAACTTTATAGCTTTTATAGAAGTTTGAGAGAAAAAAATATTTTTGAACAACCTATGCCAGAAAATATATTAATAAGCTTGTAACTTATATCCATCACTTTGGTTGTTGTTTGCAATAACTGCATAAAATTACGTAAGCTTAAATATTGAAGATCTGGTTATTTTTATAAACAATTAATTTTTTTGTTTTATGTGTTTTGCTCTAACTTACTAAGCAAAATTTCGGCGTAATTTTAAATTACAAAAATATTTTTTAAAAATTTGAAAGAAGATCGTTAAAAATTGAGCAAGATATGAGCATTTAAAATTTGATCTTTCATACTACCCATGAGCGGAAGAAATATTTTTCATAATTTCGTAGTTAATCGTATTTGGAAACTAACGAAATAAGTCTGATTTTAATATCTTGAAAAAAGTTTCTAGCCATTTCCTGAGAAAAAAAAAAAAAAAAAAAAAAAAACGACTTTGTCATTTTTAACAAATTTTGTGTGATAGTACAAAGTACAATTTGAGAAAAACATTTATCATTATGAGCTTTCTTTAAAAAAGTAAAAAGACTACTTAGTAAATTGCTAAAATTTTTTTTAATGCTCAAGTTAATTGAAATTGGATTTTTTTCTTCTGTAGTTACTAAATATGATACAAAATTATGAGACATATGTTTTAAATTCGCTTACGAAGAATGAAAGAACTGTTCATATCTTGCACAATTTTAAACAAATTTCTTTCAAGCTTTAAAATAATTTTGTTATTAATTGAAAAATTCCCTAAAAATTTTGCCTAATTTTGTTGGTCAATTTTTAGAGTTATAGCAAAAAAAAAAAAAAAAAAAAGAAGTCAAAATATGAGTTTTTAACGTCAAATTCATTGTAAATATTTAAGCTAAGTTTATGAAACTTCATGCAATCATTATGAACAATAACCAAAGTAATCAATGCAAGTTACAAGCTTATCTGGAATAGGGTGTTCAAAAATACTTGTTTCCGTTCGAAATTTATTACTGATCCCTCAAATCTCAGAAATGAAAGATTTAAAATTTATTAGTAAGTAAGAGAAATTGCATGATATAAACACATCTAAAGTTATAAAACAGTCCTCGATAAAAAAAAGTGTCAAAAACTGAATGTTTCTTCCATTGTTGTGGAGTAGCGTATATAT